AAAAAAAAATCCGTTGAGGAGCATAACTATCATAATCGAACACCTACAAACCCCCGTCAGCACCGCAAAGCAAGCCGGACAAGCATAGAAGTTTGGACCGTTCTGCTGCCCATTGCTTCCCTTCAAAGTTCAAACTCGACCTAGAACCTTCAAAACCAGAACCTAGGAGACATAGTTTCAAACCTATAGCCTTTGCCCTTTCATGTTGTTGTCGCTGCTCTACTTTAGCCATTGCTAAAAACTTTGCTGCAACCTGTTCAGGCCTTGTATCGAAGACGATGATGCAAGAAAAAACTGAACGGCCTCGTCTTCAAGTCTTCCATTTCCATCCAAGAAAAAAATGGAGGGTGCGTGCTCGTGGCTTTGAAGTCCATCGATTTGTTTTTGTACTTTTACAGGTACTAAATTAATTTTACGCCAATGCCTCTCTCGACAACAAGATCAATCTAATAGTTATAGTGAAGGTACTTCCTAGACGCTGCACGTGATCAGAATCCCCTTTTCCCTCCAATTTTTATCTCCCAGAACAACTACTGTATGGCTTTAATGCTCCCTTCCCTTTATCGTAAGCAAAAATACCTAGTTTCAAGTATGATGCAATTCTTGTTCAAATTAGAAGAGTGTAGTTGGAACTGCAAAAAAAATTATTATCATTACAGATAGGGGTACTTCCCAAAAAAGAAAAAAGCTAACTTTTTTCAACAATATCATTATGTTCAACCGGATGGACGAAATAGTTCTTAATTGATTTACGGTCTCTATTTAAATAAATAAAGATATTTCGACCGGCCAAATTGGCCAACCAATGCCTTAAGAATTTAAATATTTCTTCAAAAAATCCAAATATAGAAACTTTTAACTTTTCTGATGGATTAAAAAAAAATTAAAAGTGGTTTGCATCCTCAAAATTATAAAGAATTATCACTATTTTTTAATTCTGTATTACCTTCTAATTAAAATTAATATATTTTATTTATTTTAAACTTCTTTTATATAATTTCTTTCTATATACAATTAACAAGCATATTTGGAAAAAAGAAAAATTTACTGATAAGTTTTTTTTTTTGGGCAAAAGATTCTGTTTTCTGGACTAGCACCAAAAGTGTTTGTATACTCCGGCGGATGGAAAACGTACATTGAAGAAACTACCACGGCTAATTCTGTGTGATACGGATACCTACCGTTTCCAAGATATTAATTATAATATTGTTAGAAACAAAATTAGAAAATCATTAAGCTCTATATGATTTTAATTAAATAATAATTTTTTATTGATACGTAAAATTTGGTTAAAAACATCTAAGAATTGATGGAGCATGCAGCTAGAATCCTGCAATTCCTTTCGTTCAGACTTGGGAGTTACGAGAGAGTGGTGTTACGGTTATCCAAAAACAGAGCTACGGCCTACGAGGGATTAAGGAAAAGAAGAAGAAATTGTTCCATTGAACTTGTGACGAGTGAATTAAAACAACATAACTGGGGACATAAGAAGTCGGTCACTCCGATTTACGAAGCTAGATGATTCATCGCCGACGCTAAACCATTCAAAGTGACAATCAATGATCAGCAGTCCAATAACCAAATCAGCACAATACGTTATTATAAAGAAAGATTCAGGTCTAACTCATCTTCTTCTCCATGCGGTGGTGCTGGCGGCGGCGCAGCTTCTGCGATTGGCTCTGAGTCTTTATCTTGTGCGTCGACCTCCTTCTCACTGGAAGGACCACCAGCTGGTGGGTGCTTCTAATTCCCCAAATCTTGATAGTCATGAATGAAATCCTCGGGTTGAAAAGACGGGTTCCAGACATTCTTAACTTGTCTTCCTCCGACTTCTTGTTATTCTCTCTCTCCTTAGAGAGGCGATCACGTACCTCTTGGTGCTTCTTATCAAGGCAAAGAACTTCTCCATCTCTGCTCCTCGCTATCTTCTTCCTCGCCATCCAATATCCTCTTCCTCCTTCCTCCATCCATTCTGATCTATTGTGAGGTATGCCTGCAGATAGGAGGGGAAAGAGTAAAGAGAGAATAATATTCTCCTCGAGTTAACGCGCCTATGAACAGAACAGGGGTGTGACAGTGAGGTGATCAAATGGGGAGAGCAAGATAATTAAACATGGGAACTCAAAAAGGACAGGATATAATTAAAGTTAAAAGTCTAATTATCCTTTTGTTTTTTTCACTACGGGCGTTGTGTATTTTGTACTTTTGAGTTGGACAAATTTTTTCTTAATTAATAATGGAGCAAACAATCCCTTTTTATCAATTGGTGATTTATTCTCTGATTATCTAATGACTTTTCATTGTACGGGGCCTAAGAAGAAAGTTGACATTTTGACCATCTAGAGCATGCAACACACCCCACATCACTTCCCTCTCTCTCTCCCCCTCCTATTCTCTCTCCCTCTCATCGTTGTGAAGTCTAAGCCATTTAATTTCTACACTACAATTTTGCTGAACTGCGAGCCTCCGCCATGAAAGAGTCAAAGAACGAAGTTCTCAATGGCTCCATTCAGCTCCTTTCTTCTCTTCTGGATGAGATTCCCACTGCTGTTAACTTTAAGGGTAAATGGTCTCTGATTAGAGCCAAACTTTTCGATCTCCATACTCAGCTCACAGATTTCTCCTTTGAGCTTCCTAATTACTCGTCCAATTCTTTGTCACTTGAGCTACTTCAGTCAGTTTCGCACACCCTTAACGATGCCGTTTCACTAGCCAAAGAATGCCAGTCCCCCCAACTTATCCCAAGGAAAGCTCAAAACTCAGAGCGACATTGATTCGGTCATCGCTAAGCTGGATCGCCATGAGATTATGTTCAGGAGTAGGGCTTTGTAAGACGGTGCCCTTTCCAGCTCGTCTAAAAGAGAGGCCATATGGTCTGAATCCAGGAACTTGATTACTCGTCTTAAATCGGTCTTGCTGAGTCCAAGAAGTCAGCGATGGACTCCTTGTTGGATTTACTGGGAGAGGATGATAAGAATGCTGGTTCCGGTGCTTATTTGCTTATTGGATTCCGTTATTCTGAGACAAAGGAGAAGACTATTACTGCTATCTCCAAAGTCTCCGTGGTGGATAGTAGCAAACATACTTTGATCGTTGAGGGTTTGTAGCTTTTAAATCAGTTGGTCCGAGTTCTCATTCAGGGAGTGGATTTGCCAAGCAGAAGTCCTGCATAACCCTCTCTTTGCTTGCTCTGTGTTTTGCTCTCTGATCTCGTCTGCTTCGTGTCATGAGTAAAGTTTTAATAGCATCTGTCCCTCTCCTCCAAATGGGACGCCCAGACGGTCAAAATGTTAACTTCCACATATTGAAAGCCAAATCATATTTCCTGAGCCCCACACAATGACAATCTACTAGATAATGGGAGAATTTTTGCTCTCTTGAGACATAGTTCAAAAAAAAAAAACTTTGTCACGCTTAAAAATATAAGGTGACCAACGCTGTTACAAACAAAAAATAGAAAACAAAATTTGACCTCAATCCATATCATCATCACTTGCTTCACCGCTTTCGATAGGCTGAATCAGTTGGTATGGCATAGAATGGCACATGGGCGCTGGTTGCCGAGTGGGGTTCTGATTTCAATGAGCCAAAGGCGTGTAAATTGACTGCCCGAAGGTGTCAAAGACCGTGTGATTTTACGCGGGAGCCGCACTAACGAAATTACAAGTATACCCATCAACTTTAAGGGGGAGTCGCCCTGGAAATTTGATAAAGAGAAGGGGCAGGATGGTACTATAATGTAAACTAGAGTTTTACATGCTTGACTTTGATGAATCAAGATATTAAAGATTATCCAAAATATATGACATTTTTATTATAATTTAAATATTAATAAAATTTAATTATATTTCTATTTTTAATTATAAATATTATAAGTTTTTTTTATCATTTTTTTCAACTGTAAATAATAAATTAAATGAAAAGTAATGTTTTTTTAATGAAATATTATGACATAAGAAAGGTCAACATCCTAATAAATCAATAAAGTTTTAACTATCATAAAAAATAAAAAAAATGTAATAAATATTAATAAAGTTATAAAACAAATTAAATTAATAAATATAATAGTAAAATAAATAAATTTAAAATTTATTAAAATTTTTATATTTTGAACTAAAATGAATTGAAAGAAAATATCTTATAATTTAGATAAGAAGTAATGTAAATTGAATATTAAATAAATATTAACTTCGCAAGACAGTGTTGGACGGGACGTGAGGAATCAGATTTCAAACTCTACTTATATATACACACCCTAACCCTTCATGTGCTGTGAGGTGGATAGGGGAGATCTTTTTTCTCCTTTAGTCAATTCATTAAATTCGTATTATAATTTTTATTTTTATCCTTTATTAAATGTTAATGAGATCAAATAGCTTATTAAAAAAATATAATTAATAAAATTAAAGTTAAAAATTTATTAAATTTAAGTCTGAGGTAACAAGTTTTAATATTTTATTTTTATCTTAATAAAATATATTAAAAATAATTTATAAATAAGGTTAAATGAATAATTAACAAGTGTTGGTTTTAACATAAATTATAACCGCTTAAATATAAGATCACGATAAGTTAATGTAAATAAAAAATATTTTAAAAAAAAACTATTCTCAATTAAAACTAACAACATTAGAATATGATTTAGTGGAATAGATACATTTAAAAAACTTCTTCTTCAATTTGCAAATGTTGTCTAAATAAAAATCCCCACTCTCTCTTCCTTTGTAATTTTCAACTGATGTAATTTCTTTTTTAATTTTTAATAAATTTAAATTATCTTGATAAATTATATTCTTAAAAAATAATTTTAAATAAATATTATATTTTTAAACTTTAATTTTTTTAATATTTTTAAATTTTAGTTTTTAAAATTTCATGATATTTACTTAACATATTTTTTTAAGAAAAATTATTTAAAAAAACTTTACCATAATATTTATTGTTGATAAGAACTTGAAATTTGAAAAAGGACTTGGATCCTGCTATGTCAATAAATGAAATGAGCAAAAACCCTAAATGCCCTTGATCAAATCCTTTCCCCTTTGGCTCCCCTTCATCTGTCCTGCTCCGCTCCCGTGCACATCGTTCAGCCACAGCTCCATGATTTTGAAGGCGATAATGGGTATATTCGATTTCGATGGCGGTGGTGACAAAGGAAAGTGAGGTGAGATTTGGTTTTAAAGACACTGGATGAAAGAGCGAAGACGGTTTAAATCGTAGGGAGTTTTCTATTTCTTGATGAATCCATCAAAATCACAAAGCTCCGCACCTCCTGGAACGTTTTCTTCTCGCCCTTTCTCTTCCTCTCAGGCGTTGCCTCACAAACAAACCATTTTGGTTTCATCGAACCCAAACTACTCTAGCTCCACCCCCCTTTCCGGTGCCTCATGGTCATGGATTCCCTCGATGCTCAATTCTTTCATTCCCTACACAGCAATTTTCACAGCATAACTTTTAATTAGGCGAGATCGGTTTTGTTCAATCTAACTTCGAATCTAGATTTGAATTCCCCCCGGCATCTATTTCCCTTCAATTTTTACTTTTTGATCCCGGGTTTCCATCCACATTAAGTTTCATCATTGGTAAGTGTTGATGAGATATGATTCTAGTTGATTGTAGAAGATTTTGATTATTTAGAATTTAATCATATAACTGTCCAAATTAGTAGGAGATTTATTTTTCAGTTGTTCTTCGATAATTCTCTCCCTGAATTCTTTCCATCTTATGCTGATTTGAGTAATAGTGCTGTTGCTACCAATCCATTAGGAATTATGTTTCTATTCTTCAAGTATACAGATTTGTTAATCTTCAAATAGACATTCAACCATTCCTTTCCAAGTTTAAGCAGGATTTTTCATCTCTAATCTCTTTCTTTCTTTTTGTGCCTATGTTGTAATTGCCTTAACATTTGCTATGAAATAAGGATGGCTTCCCTTGTCAAAAGCTTCGCTAGTCATTGGGATTCCCCTTGTTCATCGGTTTTGATGTGGTACTGATCTTCTGATCCTTTAATATAATCCTTCTATTAATACTTACAAAACATTAAGTAAGTAGATGTAGCATTCAAATTCAAGATATGACAGACTTGCATATTCATTTTTTTTCCCTAATGATCGCCAACTTGTTTAATTTTAAATCTTAGGGTGAGTTCCAGAATTACTACCTAATAGATGGACTATGGTTTAATTATTTTCTCATGTGCCCTGGACATGACTTGCAGGTGTGTGGTTAAATAGTTATTGGCTTTAATTACTCTAATGTGCTCTTTTTCTTTGTTTATCAAATGAACCGTGTTCTGGCTTGAAACTGTCACTTTTTGTTGCCTTGGGCAGTTCAACTAGTAGCTTGGGATAACAGGTGTATGTAATTTTGGGATAACTCTGGTTTGTGCAGTTGGAGAAGAATTCCATGGCCTTTGTTTTGTCCAATGCTTCTCTGGTTTGTACTGCCTTGTTTCCATGGCAGTTAATATTGACTAGTTACTCTTATTTGTTTGTACATTCATGGTAATTTCCATGTGACAAAGTCTTGGAGAAGATGGAAGCATTGTATATTTGTGAGAATCAGGAGGCAAGGATAAAGTGGGAGAAGAAGGTGACAATCCAGATGCAGAGAAGACGGAGGCTAAGATGAATAGATCATGAGTGTTGTTGGGATGTGATATTTGTAAATGTTTATGTATATGAAATTGTTTTCATTTATAAAGCATACATGATTATATGCATATGCATATTTCAGGATATAAAAATTCACTTTTTGTGACTCTTATTATATAAATTACGTGATATAATAAATGAATATTTGAATTCAATTTCTTGCTTCAAGTGTTATTTTGCTTATAAATGAATATTTGTTGGTGTTCAATTATTTTTCTTTATGCTTTGAGTTGGTGTGGTTAAGCTTTACACATAATAATAATGATCATTAATGTTTTTTTGAAAAATTTAAAATTTTTAGAATTTTTGTTTGCAATACATTTTTAAAATATTTATTAATATTTTCATGAAAAATGATATAAGTTTTAGAATACGAAAAAGCATATTCAAATATATCGTGTGCTTTCATGAATGATAAAAAAATTTAGAATATTTATTTACATTTTAATGAAAAACGGTGCTATATTCAAATATCAATTTCATATATCTTGAAATTTTAATTTTCAAATTCTATATTAATAATAAGGGATATTTGAGTATTCATCATGGATATTCAAATAGAAGGTGTATTATATGTAAAATTTTATGAAAAATTGCATCTAGATCCCATATAATAAAATTTAATATCAAGAGCTCCTATAAATTTATAAAATACTCTCAAATTTTGAATCATATATATTTAAAATTTAATTAAGAGTATTGATAATTAAATAAGAGTATTGATAATTAAATAACGGTTGTTTACAACCTTTTATTTTCAATATTCCTACCACTCCCTTCTCCCATTGGTTCTCATATTCAGTAATTCGTATTAAATTATTTGATCTTTCAACCCAACAAAATAAATGTCCTGTTCTTTAAGTGGCAAAAAAGCTTTGCATGTTGAAGCATATCTCTGCCGCAGCCTTGGCTTCAATTGAATATGTACATATATTCGTTGTGTGGGCGTGTATGCTTAATTGATATTGTCCTCACGAAAGTGACACTACCCTCTGGTTATGCTAGGCCCCCCATTCTTAATATTTCACAAATTTAAAATCGTTGATTAATTCCAAGTTTTCTTATACATGCACTTAATTGATTAAGGAAAGGATATTTTGCACTTTGCCTTATATGCACAGAACGTTTGAAAGAAAATTATACTTCATTAAAGATCAGTCGCATATTGTTCAAGAAAGGTTACATATTGTCAAGAGACTATTATCCTTTTTTCAAAAAGTTAGCTGAGTAAAGTGTGCAACGCACCCATTTACATAGTCAGAACTACAATGACTATTGTCATTAACCCAACTTAACTCAACTAAGCCACTAACCCTTACTAATAAGGATCAATTGTGGCTACCAATAATCAAATCAAGGTTCAGAGAACACTTTTTAAATAATGGAATCCTAAAAATTATATGAAAAAGATTAATAATAAAAAAAAACTTAAAAGCAGAGTCAGAAAGATATGTGAAAACATGATAAAAAGTTTAGCTTTGAAGGCAATTGGTTCAAGAATAAAACATCATTTTTGCATAATTGTGAACATTTGTTGTGGCTACAAACTCATTAGCAGCAACCAACGTTACAAATTCATCTATTGTGGCTTATTTGCAATTCGTCGTGGCATGTAATATAGAAACCACTTCGTTGTGGTCAAATGCCATGTTCGTCGTGGCCTACTACAAATTGCCTCATTCATTATAGCCAAGCATGTGTTCGCTATGATGAAAACCCCTTTATCAACACAAAATTATAGCATGTGAAAATTAAACTTCAAATGCATTGGAACTTCAATTAAGTTGATCCAAACATCCACATGTAGATAAGTAAGACATCTAGCAAATAGCACTAGTTATAATTCAATTTGGCACCCAACAAGGATCTTGGAATACTTAGCTCTAATCGAGTCTCAATCCAAAGACACCTACTAAGTGCTTCTCATCACAAGCCATTGACCCTACCATTCCACAAACATAAACTTCATATGCATAAAAATGCCATGATATTAATCTATATGCTAGAGTAATAACATTCAATCATATCACACATTTGTATGTTAGGCTCTCACAAAACATAAGGCCACCAAATCAAAATGCTCAAGTCAGTGATTAAAGCTTAGATACAAATGATCTATAGTTAACAATTTACAATTATCCTATGTTGGCAAATATAAACCTCATTACACAACATCAAATACTAAAGATAGTACACATAAGGTCTCAAGTGATTAGCCTTTGAGACTTTCCCTTTGCTCTTCGTCTTATCATCTCCTGAAAAAATATTAAGTTACAGGAGTGAGATTAAACAATCTTAATAATCAAGAAATCTAATCAAAGAATATTAAAGCATGATAGTTACAATCAAGTAAGCAAATTATATCACATAAAAAAAACCACACCTTAATCACAGTTAATCATAAAGCCAAATGCCATATGCTTAATGCATCCATCTTATATCTTATGACTGAAATCATGTACTATTAACTCATATAGGTCTAATTCGTGTGAGTTGACTACTCCTTCTCTCCAATTGTGAAGGTTCACCTGGTCAAAAGCTCCCACGTTCACTTTCACATCGTGCATTTCCTTACCCAAATTTAAGGGTGTCTTGAGTACTCAACCTATGTCGTCATCTCTAGAAATTGGTGATATCGAGCATCGTACTTGACTTATCCTAAACCTATAGATTATTGGCAATATTAATCACATTAAGTAATTAACTATGCCAACCATTGTGGACAAATATAATGGAGGTCATATCACATGGATTTTACTAATATAGCTCTCTACTATTCAAAATTGCATTAACTCAAAGTCAATGGATATCAACAACATACTAAAATAGTTCAACACATATCATCAATAATCTCCCATAATTCACAATTGCAAATATAATGAAATACTATAATTAAATTCTCAATTATCTCTACTCTTGGGATACCACCCCAAGAGTCTAATTTGGGCTTCCTGAGGGAGCTTCTTCGTAAAATTTCAAACACAATCAGTCTATAACAATGATCTAAAACAACATTAATGACTAATTTTTATTAAATAACCCTTAATCATAATGAAGGTCTAAACCCTTATTAAGCATGATTAAGTATCACTAAGCCCAAAACTCATTCTTATTAATTTATTTAACTTTCATAAAGCTTAATAACCACTATAAACTACCCCTATTAGCTTAAACCCAATTATTTATCCTTATGATTAACTCTAAACCTCTTATTAATGGCATTTAAAGCTACCATGGACTCCCTTTAAGTCATTAGAAGGGTTGTGGTTCAACATCAATTTTAGATATTAACTCCTTATCCCAAAAATTATAAAAAGCGCACTAATTAAGGAAGGAGAAGAAATTTAAGCCTTATCAAAAGATGTAGGGGCTCTATATCACTTTAAATATGTTTCCCTAATGAGACCCTAACAGTGCACCACCTCTCTTTCAAATCTCTGTCAAAATGCTTTATGTGTTTGTGTCTTTGAATAGCAGATCAAGCTTTAAAGTTTTGTTATGTCCATTATGGTGAACTACACCATTTACCGCGACGGAAGGTCTAAAATATGCAGCATTATTAAAGCCTTCTAATTTAGGCCCAATATTCCTTTAAACCTTATTCTAACTCTTTTAGGAGGTTCAATAGGCCCAAAAAGCTATTGAAACTCTAATATTAACTCATAATCAATTTGATTAACTAATTAAATCCTTTAGTTACAATCTAACACTAAAATTAAAATTTGAGATGTTATAAGGACTCTCCTAAAATTCTTTTGATATGGGACATAATAGCTCCCTCAGCTAATCCATGACGCTCATTGTATGAATGGCTCAGGCAAAACCTGGGCCCATTACTCTTTCCTAAAAAGTTAGCTCGATGGGGTATGTAGCGTACTCATTTATATGGTTAAGACCCTTTTAAAGTCCTTCCAATGTGGAATATAGCAATATGCTTCTAAAGGTATTTATAAGGAAAATCAATAAGGAATATTCGAATATACATAAATGATACTTGAATATAGGAAAGAAAATTTTATTTGTTGAAGATTAGTCGCATATCATTGAAGAAACGTTACATATGCTTCCAAAAGTATCTAACTGATAAGGGACATTCGAGTATGCACAAGTGAGAAAACATCTCACAAGTTGCTTGGCCAGATCGAGTATTACCAATCAATTCAAAATTAAATAAAGTAAAAATAAACAAAAAATATGAATAAATAAACAAAAAAAAACATAATAATTAATATATATATATATATATATATAATAGCAGGATGACATGGGATATCCTAAAAGGTATCTCGGGTCCTAACTGTCCTAGCCCCTTTTTTGTTTCATCTCACAACATTCTATCCTAATTTTTTTTAGATGAGTTTGATCGGGACAAGTACAGGCCAATTGGAATGAGTATAACTTTGAACATCCTTATGTCAGTGCACCCATTTATATGGCTATGACCCTTCCAAAGTTCTTCTGATATGGGATGTAACAATATGCTTTTAAAGGTATCCATGAGGGGAATTAATAAGGGATATTTGAATATACATAAGTACTATTTGAATATATGAAAGAAAATTTTATTTTGTTGAAGATCAATCACATATCATTGAAGAAATATTGCATATGCTTCCGAAAGTATCCATAAGGAAAATTGATAAGGGATATTCAAATATTCACAAGTGATATTCGAATACATGAAATAAAATTGTATTTTATTAGGATTAGTCACATATCATAGAAGAAATATTGCATATGCTTCGTTGAAGATGATTTGTATATTGTACAAAAACCATTGCATATGACATATTAACATCAAAGGATCTCATGCTTCAGGGCTTAATAAATGGTCATTGAAGGACCTTATTTGACATATCAACACCAAAGGAAGTTGAGTTACATATTGACATTTAATTATTGATAGCGAGGGGCTTGTGACATATTAATAGCGAAGGATCTTATGTAACATATTGACAATGAAGAACCTTGCTCAATTTTTGTTTTTTTTATCATTTAGGACATTGATGTCATTTAACCTTCATCAATTATTGACAGCAAAGGATCTCATTCCAAAACATTTCCTAATCCTTCTCAACAATCAAATTTGTAGTCATGTCTTTTTTAACAACTTCTCTATTTTTTTTAATCTAGGTGTTAAATAATTAGCTATCAA